CACAAGCCCTATTCAGCCCGGATGCAGCAACACAGCGTCAACCATCCGTGGCAGGGGGTGCACACAAATGGGGTGCTCAGACTTACCTGGGGGTGCAGGTGTGGTTGTCACCTCCAGAGTCACGTTATTACCAAGGGGTGAGGACAGAAAGGGGTGACCCGAGGGGCGGTAGGAGCACCTGTAGGTGCCGCTGTCAGCTGGGGTCACCCCAAAGATGGTGAAGGTGGCTGTGCCCACCACATCGAGGTCCTGGCGTTGGATGGGGGCTGAGCACCCATCCTTGTGCAGGAGGAAGGCGGCCCCATAGTCCCTATTCCAGCACTGGATGGTGACATTGGTCCCTGTCTCCACACATTCCTCAGGGCTCAGGGAAATGCTGGGTGGGGGGAATCTGTGATCTGCATGGGGGAAGGGACAGCAGTGGGACACGGTCCTGTTGGAAGCAAGCAGAGCCATCTGCTGTCCCCAGTGCCCTCACCTGTCAGCACCAGCTCCACAGGATCACTCTTCTCTGAATCCTCTGCTGACATAGACTCCTGGTACTGACACCAATATGTACCTGCATGCCCCCGATTTGCATTCAAGAAGGAGAAGTCTGCAGTGTCCTGCTCCTTGTACTTGTAATTGCTGTGTATCCAACGTCCTTCCTTGTACAGCCGGACCCATCAGCCAGCTGGGGCAGGTGGCACCTTAGGGTGACATTGTCCCCCAGGGACACCCCCTGGCTGGGTTGCAGCGACAGGGAGGGTCGGAGCACTAGGACAGGGGACAGGCAGTCAGCCTTGTCCCTGCACACCTTCCCCTCTCATGGCCCCCTGACCACGCTCCCCTCCCTCTCTCCCCGTGCTCCCCCCATCTCCATACTCACGATGCTGTGCTCTGCTTGCTGTCACCAACCACCAACCTGTAAGGGACACGGTTCTGGTTCCACACAGGGCCACCAACCCCCATGGCACCACGTCCCCATTGTCACTCACCCAGGATGAGGGCCAGCGCCATTGGTTCCATGAGGCAGGAGCAGCTTGGGAACAGAGAGACTGCAGTGGGGAAAGGACGTGACCGAA